TCTGAATGAATGAATGAATGAATGAATGAATGAATGAATGAATGAATGAATGAATGCCAGTCTGTTAACCACAGTTGACTTAAATGAATAAAAAAATAGAAACAGTTGTAGCTACTGCTAGAAAAACAGTGAAATTGTTTAATTTTTCCTGAGCAATTGACTCAAGAGAAGGACTTTCTTTTAAGAAGTCAAATAATCATACTTTTGCTACTCTTTTGCTGTGAACACAGAAGAGTGTATACGCACATGCATGTGTGCACACACACACACACACACACATAGAACACAGCATGGGCATTAACAGAGTCATACCAGGTGTGAGATTGTTTTGCCATGATTTCCAGGTCTCTAATTACCAGTTGTACAAAGAGACACGGGAGTCATTCTTACGTCCCACTTGCAGTGGTGCAAAGATACCCCATGGTCTTTTCATTGAGAACATGTCCTCACACAATAGCTCCGTTCTTGTTGCTGGCTTACTGCGGAATCAGCCTGGTGTTAGGTATTCTAGAATGAAAATAGTATTTTCCCTGCCACTAGATTTTCCCTTCCTTTCTAGAGTGCATGGAGAAGGAGCCCTCAGAAGTCAGTGATCAGCTCAGTCCCAGTTGGCCCGCTATGCCTTCTGGGGGACATCCTATCTCCTCTGGTTGCTTATCTCTTCAACTCCATGACCATTTTCAGTATGCCCGGGAGACAGACTGGACACCTCATGTGCAAAACATATTTCCTTTTTGCATGTGTGTGTTCAAAGACTGGAATACCAGCTTCATGTAAGACTGAATTCAAGTCTTCCAAGAAGTAAATATGCTCACTGATAAGCAATTAATACCTATTTTCTGTGATCCTCAGCAGTAATTAAAACAATTAACTGGAAAAAATGGGACAAAAATGGGACAGGCAAAACTGGGGAGACACACAAAGAGAAATTCTACCTACCTACCTACCTACCTACCTACCTACCTACCTACCTACCTACCTACCTACCAAGATATAGAACTTCTTAGAGCCCCTGTAAACAATACTGTCTGTAATTAGC